ATTAAAATATCATCTTATGTTCCATATCGAGCATTCGATTTACATCGGAACATTCACAACATGTTTCGGTTTATCAAACCGTCATCAGGTGTAAATTATAAACTTTTAAACTCAAATTACAATTATTTATATTTTTTACAATTTTATAAATTTATCATCTTTCTCATTATATTTTCTGGAAGTTGTGTCTAGATATTATCAATATAACACTATTGTTGAGGTGGTGTTATTGATGTTTATCTAGACACAACTTGCAGAAAATATACTGAGAAAGATGATAAAATTATAAAATTGTAAAAACTATAAATAATTGTAATTTGAGTTTAAAAGTTAAATCAATGGATAGTCAATTACATCCGTTCCCAGCACCCAAACATTGTTAAGTAATATAATGATATTACATTTAAAGCTCTGAAATTACGTAAATAAAATAAAAGGAATATAAAAAAATATATATTTTATACACTTATAATCGACGATGGCGTGATGAAGCGGGGTTAGTTCTCTAACGAAGTCCCTAGTTGAGGATCGTCATGTTTTTTTTAAAAAAAGGTATGTAGTGTGGACTGTCGTGATTTCTTCTTTCTTTATTTTAAAATTTCAGGATAAGGCATCATGGTCTCAATTACATAAGAGCAAACTCGCATATGCAAATTTTGCATTTTACAAACAGCTTTTGCTGATTCATCGATTTCATTGGAGCAAATTAGCTTTAACTAAACATACGTAATTGCAGAAATGACTGTATTTATATTTTTTATTCAAAATCAGATATGTAAAAAATACGATTTAGTATAGGCAGTACGAGAAACATAATAAAAGATATAAATAACAGTAAAATATATTTAATTCACTTTTTGACTTCCAGGTTTCATAATCGGCGTTATTCTGAATCGGCGCAAATCGAGAACTACCTGTACCAGTTTTCTAAAAATGGCTCACTGTTCAAAAATAATGCTACAGAACATAATATATAGATCTCATTCTGATCTAATTTTAATTTGAAACATTTTTAATACAATAAATATTTAATTAAATACAAAGTAAAACAAATTATGACTATGTAACGTGATATCTGTAGTGTGAAATTTCATGCAATGGATCTCTAATGAATGGACATCTAGGTCAGTGGCGTACTACAAAATTACTATGAATAATCAGCCTCACGAAACAAAGTCTTTCTTGATAAGCTAATAGTTGGTTAGCTAGTAAAGAAATCCCCTGTCATTTATGAAAACGGTGTAACTTTCATTCATTAATTTATCTTAAGCCCCATATTATATAGAGTGATTCTAAAAGGACATTACAAATTTGAAAGTGTATAGAAATTTATTCATAAGGCATACAGAATCGGGTGAGGTGTCATTTTGTAGCAAAACAAATAAAGGTTTACCTCAAACAGTCATTTTGGTTCGATGTGATTGTCATTGGTGATACGGCCAGACATCCCACCTGAAATCTAATTTCTTGCCAAATACAATCCAGCATATACGGTGTCACTTCTGCAACTGCGACAGTGATTTGAGCTTTGAGCTCCTTGAGATTGGCAGATAATGTTTGAACAAACACACGATCTTTAATGAAACCCCATACAAAAAAAATTGAGAGGTGTCAAATCTGTAGAACGAGATGGCCATGCTATCGGCCCTGTTCGACCAATCCACCGACCTGGGAAACGATTATTGAGGAAATCCCGGTTTCCTGTGAGATAGTGAGGTGGTGCGCCGTCTTGCTGGAAGTGAATGCGTCCTTCTTGGTCATCTTCGTCTAACTGTGGTATGAGAACATTTTCGAGCATATCCAGATACACGATACCGTTGATGGTTCTCTCATAAAAAAAAGAACGGGACGTACACTTTAACTTTGCTAAGGGCACAAAACACATTCACCTTTGGGCTGTCACAAACATGTTTCAGATGTGCACGTGGATTTTAGCTGCCCCAAATCCTGCCGTTGCAGGTGTTCACCTTACCACTGACATGAGATGTCGATCCATCACTAAGATTATGTAGTTATGTTTGGTCTTCCCCTCTCCGATGCAACATTTCTGCACAGAATTCCTGATGAGTCACTTTATCTTAGCACAATTGTAAATCTGTATGGTTTTAAGTGCAAACGTTTTCGTAACACGAGCCAAATGGTCGGTTGTGGAATGCCAGTCTTACGAGACGCACGTCGCGTTGATTTCGCAGGACTACGGACAAAGCTCTCCCTCACTCGTTCCACGACAGCATCAGAAACACGCAGGCCACCTGAAGATTTGTCATGGCGAACAGAACAACCAGTATCAACAAAATTCTTGTGCCAAGAGTAAATTGTAGGTCTACTGGGAGGATCCTTGCCATACTGGGTGTGAAAATTCCGTTGAACTATTGTCGCAGATTTCGTTTCTTCAAACCACAGCGCGCTTCGCACCTGTGAAAGTAGATATTTTGAAATGCACTGCCGCTTGCACTCGCGGTGACGGAATTCGGTACTACAGCATAACGTGAGTCTAACTTGATTTGTTTTGCTACAAAATGACACCTCAAGTGATTCAGTATGCTTTCTGATTAAATTTCTATACACTTTCAAAGTCGTAAAGTCCTTTTAGAATCACCCTGTATATGCGCCTAACTATATGTCTGAGCATTATAACTAAAAGGTATCTTGTTTGTGCCACCCAAGAGTACAGCTTAACCAATTGGTGATTACTGAAATTCTTTATGTCTTTATTAACAGGCTTCTTTTTGAGAATTCACAAACACGAGGAATCTACACATCTTACTACCGCGAGACAGTGAAGTTCCATCGACTTGAGACTGCGTATGACTACTTTGTCGCGGTCTGTGAATGCATGTTCGTAGCATTCATATTTTTCTACACCATAGAAGAGATAGTGGATATCGTGGTCTTAAAACGCATTTGCATTCAGTCTGTATGGAATGGTTTCGATCTGATCATTCTTATGGTAAAATTCTGTACTCTGACTTTAGATATTGATTGAATGAAAGTAGTATTTCCTTCAACCATTTCATATTGACATTAATAGTTAAGATACAAGAATCATATTTCTAAGACGTTCATTGGTGTTTCAAAGACGTAATTTGCAAACTAAGTGAGAAACCTGTTCTGGTATTATAGATGTCACTTTCTTTCCAAATTTATTACCCTTTAATCCTAATGCCATTTACATATTATCATTAACATCACGTCAAAACAAAGGATAAGTGAAGTTAATGCATTAATACTGTTATTTGGGATACACATTTAAGGAGAGATTTAAATACATATAAAGAATCAGGAATACCATTCATTGGATTATGAAAATTCCTATGATTTCATCTTCACACACATAAATAAATTTGCTCTTAACAGAAAAATTTTTGGACTATGAGTTTGAATACTAAATATGTCACTTGCAAGTGATTTTTCTTTCCATCATTCTACTACAATCTGAAGTGTAGATCCTATTGTTAAATATTAAATTAAACTTTAAATTAATCTTAGAATGAAGACGATAGTGATTTATAAAATATGTACTTACATGAAACCTGCAGCAAAATTCATACAGCTAAATATTTATCTGACTCATTTTCCACCAAAACAGTCTCCAATGCTCTTTAACTTTACACTAGAATACGCCATCAGGAAAGACCAGGATAGGTAGGAGTGTTTGCAATTGAATGGGACACATCAGCTATTGGCATATAATTTCTTGGGTTACGGTATAATTAGAATGAAGAGAAGTTTCACTTGAAGCTAGTAGAAAGGTCGGACTAGAAGTAAACTCAGACAAAACTAAGTACATGTTAGTATCTCGTCAGCAGACAAGTGGGCAGAATCATATTACGGTCGCTCATAAATCCTTCTCGTCTGTTGGAAATTTCAAATATAGGACAGGAACACGTGGAGGGCTCTGGTTAATTCATTGACGAACCTTCGGGTTCCATAAGCTATCTAGTTAGTTAATTAGTTATTAAACTTAGAATAAATAGGCATTTGCTACTTCCTCTGTGGTTTCTGTTCATTTTTAAGTTACTCATACATTTGGCTATGTTAAATAACAATTAAATAACCTACAGAGTTTTATTATGGGCAATTCTGCGTGGATGAAGTCTAATGCACTTAATTCTGTCAGTGATTGTAACTTTATGCTTGTTTTCTTTCTTCCCCAGATTGGCTATTTTGTTATATGGATGAGAATCTCTAGCTATGTGATTATTGAACCACAAATAATTCAACATATTTCTGACGAGAAGTTAGCAAACTTTTACTCATTTCATTACTATCAAGACTTTTACGACGATGCAACTCTTCTTCTGTTTTTAGTAACATGCCTCACAATCATCAAATACGTGTGTATAATAGACAATAATTTTGAATTCGTCAATCCGCTTTTGAGGGTAAGTGAATATGTAAATTTTGTTATCCTGCAGTTTTGGTACGATTTCTAATTGATGCTGATTTATAAAGTTCTTACCAGATTCTAATGAGATGATACTGATGTAACTTCATAAACACAATGGTATTTAATGTCTTCCCTTCTTATTTTACAGAACTGGAAGGAGATTACTGCAATTTCAGTTGTCATCATCGTTATTTATGTCACATGCATTCATATGTCATACACAAATTATTGTTGTAAAGGTATGTTTCTATATATGTATATGAGCATGTGTATATAAATGTGTATGTATGTATGTAGGGTTTTAGGTTTTCACAGCAGTGAGTTTGAAGATTGGATTCTTCTGGGTTGTTGTGTCGTCATCAGGGCGATGAACTGCCCTTTTGACGGAGGCACCATGACCTCTGAAACGTTGGTAAACATCTACCAAACTACGCGGCGCAACATCCCAGAAGACAGAAATCTTCATTGGATGTTATCTTAAACGATTAAACAAACTCCGCATCCAGAATTTTTCAACATCGACAGTTTACACTAGTGTGAATTTGTGTTTGAGAAGAATCTACCTTGAATTATTTAACCTTAAGAAAATTCACAAAAATTAATACAAGTGTGTTCAACACAAGCATCACTAGAGCTCACCATGGATATGCTTATCGACTCCTTATGGTCTCCCATCACAACACTAAATCTCCTGAAGATCAATCTTATGTTATTCTTGCATTTTCTAATTCTTCAAAGTTGTTACATTCCAATAGTTTTCACAAAGAAAATTCTGCATGCATTTGACTCTTTAAGTTACATCTTCAGGTCACACTAACTTCCTACTGTCTGCCTGCCAGGAAAAAAATTCCTGCAGGGGGAAGGCGTTTCTGGTGAGGTGCATGGGGAATGTTTGCTATCAGGTGGACTACAGGGCTGATATTAGTAGCAAGTGTGACGCAGACTGAAAACATCAAGCAGTTAAGAGTAACGTGTAGTGAGTGCGCCTGTAATGTGTTCTGTGGGTGTTGTGATAATATTTTAGATTAAATCACTGTGCCACTGTGAGGTAATCTTAAAGCTATTCCCATTAGGACATACGAAAGCCTTCTGTCTGTTTGTTTAGTGGTTGAGGAAAGAATGGTTTTAGGATGGCTAATAGCATCTCGTCACTCACAGCGAAATATTAAGCTTGCGCGTATATCGACTTCCTAGCAGGGATTTTATCCTGGTCGGTGGAGAGTAAATTTCAACATCCTGACAATAGTAATTAGGACTACTTACCCTTGAGACTTTAAATCTGACAGGCTCCACTGCCCACTTATTAGGATTCGACTCTAAGCACTTTTACTAACAGTTCAACTTCCTTATCACTGTATCTGCACAAACTAAATATAGATTCTCATCTGACAAGGACATAATGTGAAATAAAATTTAAACCAAGTTTTAACATTGACTTCAGAACATTTCCCTCTTACAGTAACAAACAGCTTGTGCTTGTACAAAAAACAATAAAATAAATAAGCAACAAGGAAATGTAAGAAATGTATTGGTGACAAATGAGTACAAACATTGACAATTCTAGTAACCTTAATAATTTACTGATTCTTTCTTTAATCACAGGTGAATGATTTCCAAACATTTTCGACGACTGTCTCAACACTTTGAGAAATTGATGTCAAAACTTGGATATGAAAGGAAGAATCGCGGGGAAGATAATAATTCAGATAATCTAGTAAAGTTAATTTAAAAATATTATTGTCTACTTAATTCTGATTTACTGAAGATTTTCATGTGTATTCATTTATTAATTTACTACAGTAATTCAAATCCAAAATTTTGTGTTGATGGTGCGTTTCAAAAATAACAAGTTTTCTGGATGCTTTCCATTGTCTAATACAATACAATCCTGTGTACGGAGTTGGGAATTAGCTCTACAGATTGATCCTAGCAGATAGAGTTCCATCTTCGAAATGTCGTGTAATTTTATGATTTTATTAGACGATGGAAAATACTCAGAAAACCTTATATTTGACTACAGTTACATTCATTTATTTCTTCAGACAGAATTTCAATATTGAAGACAAAATGTTATTGATTAATATTTCTATTACACCACAGAACACTGCTATAATTAAATTTGCGTGAACTTATTTTTGATTTGATATTCTGTAGCTTTATTTTGCATGTTTGGCCAGTGATATTGTTTAGCCTTATAAAATGTGTTTATGTGTAATGAAATCATAAGTTTAGCGGATGACTTCTTTACATTTACATTTTTATGTGTAGCAAATGAAATTGTTTCGACATAGTCGTTAAGTTTGTGAATATTTCGTGAGTCGAATTCTCCTACCCCCACCCAATGAATTAATAGTCCCAGGGCAACGACTGGGCTATGCGAAGTATCTTTGTTTCCCGCCTCGTTCCATCAATGATGACTTGTTTAATTTCACAGTCATAATAAAATGATCTTAGAAATCCGAGATCTATAAAGTAAAAACAGCAGGTTGAGCTTTGGATTTCCATGTTAGACTACAAAATGGAATATACTACAAAAAATTACCTAAGCAGCTTATTCTTTTAGGCATCACACACAACTGGCAAAATTTTCCTTTATGTGTTATGATTCAATATATTTCAGTTATATTATAATAAACTTATTACAAAGTTGGGTCTAGAAAAGAAACTGGACAAATGACGTCTATTCATACATTCCCCATGCTTAAGTTCAGTGCTTCTGCATAGTTGAAGCACTTTTCTGTCTATCCCATTCACATTTGCTTTCCTGTAAAATACTGCAACTGCATACAACAAAGGAGTGCTTATTTATTCATTACGATAATACTCACTGAATATCTGTGGAACTCTTATAGTTACAGAACCTCATCTTGGGTTGCAGCTATGCCATATGAGATTATACTGCGAATTCTGTAAGATTTGACCCCTGCGATTGCCCCTAATGTGGGTAACTCGGGCGCGCAATTTTTGGTAGTCTGGACTGCGTACGCGCCGTCCCGGTATTTCTTTGTGTTCATGTTGCTTTATTATATTGTATGTACGTAATGGGAATTTTAAGACGCAGACGCATTCCTGGAAATGGTAAACTTATAACTAAAACGGGAATTTTTCTAACGCTAACGGTGTTCTGTCGTGGCGGGAGAATCGACCATTAAAATTAAGGTCTGTTACTGCTGATAGGAAGTTATCCCGTCAAACAAAATGTCCAAAGAATTATGTTGGTTCGTTATCTGAGTTTTGAACCCAGAGAGGGAGGGGCCGTTTCGGATAAAGGCCCCTGCGGTTTCGGTGGGAGATTACTTGCGCGGCGTACACCGGGATAGTGGCCGGGCGACCGGTGAAAGGGGCGACTGCTCCTCTCCCCTCTACAGCTGGGGCCTCGAAAGAGATTAAAGGAGCGAGGGACGTGAATTCGTCCCGCAGACCGCCCCCCGCTCACCCTGCCGCGCTGAAACCGCCGAGCGGGACAGTCAAGCCCTCAGCCAAAGGACACGGCGCCCAGCCGGGACCCGCTTCCTCGACGGAGGAGGCAATTTGGCTCAGGTATCCCAGGGCTTCCGGTCACCTGTCCGGGCCTCTGACTGGCCACGCCAAACTTTATTGTGTCGGTAGCACGAGGCCACGACGTGGCGAAAGTGCGTGCTCTAACCGAGATCGGCGGGTTGCGGGTCAAGGTGGATACGTACGTCGCACCGAAGGGACCCATGCAGTGCAAGCGGTGCCAACGCTTCGGGCACACGCAGCGGAACTGCGGCTATGCACCTAGGTGCGTGGCCTGCGGGGACGCTCACCCATCCGGGTCGTGTGCCACCCCCAAGCAGCAGCT